CTGTTGTTCCCAGTTGCTTCCACTTTGCTATAATACCACCAGGGACGGACTAACCATTCGAGCACTCGGGCACTGGGGGCCCCATGAAAGGCCCCTGGTACCTTTTATAGGCTTATTTGGGTGTGCTTTGAGTGTGGGCAAGGAAACAGGGGCCCATGATCCCCTATTGCCCGAGGGCCCCATGAGTTGTCAGTCCGCCCCTGAATACCACTGACAGTTGACTGTGGAATATTTAGTAGCAATTTCAGGGATGGACTTATTGCCCAGGTGGCAAGCTATCATGGTACCACTCTTGAATTCACTGAACTTCTGAGAGCAACCCATTCTTTCACAAATGTTTTCAGAAGCAGTCTGCATGCCCAGGTGCTTGATTTTATACACCTTTGGCCATGGAGGTGATTGGAACATCTGAATCCAATGATTTGGAGGGGTGTCCAAAAAATTTTTGGGAATATAGTGTACATGAACATAAGCTGAACCTTTTCATGATTTTTAGAATAGAGAGGATCAATAGCATATAGGACATTCCTTCAAAACCTGGAGGGTGTCCCAATACTTTTGGCAATATTGTATATATATATATATATATATATATATATATATATATATATATAGATAGATAGATAGATAGATAGATAGATAGATAGATAGGACATGTGAAACTTTAGGAAGAATTATTGTGTTCATGCTATATAACAGCATCTGCGAATTAACACCATCTGGGAATATCAGAAGGTTGATGCTATACATCATCTCTTCACTCAGTGTTGTCCTTCCTCATTGGTTCATATATATATATATATATATATATATAAATATGAACCAATGAGGAAGGACACCACTGAGTGAAGAGATGATGTGTAGCATCAACCTTCTGATATTCTCAGATGGTGTTATATAGCATAAACACAATAATTCTTCCTAAAGTTTCACATGCCCTCTTCAAATTCCAATAGTAAATATGTGACTGGTCAGTCCCTGGTTCTCTGCCCCTCCAGTGCTCACTTAAGTGCTGTACTGTGGAGGAGGCAGGAGAAGGTTGGCACAGGTTCTCTGCGGATCGCTGAGCCAGGTGCCGGTCCAGGCTTCTAGGTGGATCCTGACCATATGGTTGGAATCTTTCCTAGGCCTGAACTAGTTGAGTGACGTCACCCAACAGCGGACTTTAGCCTGCTGTTGGCTGAAAACGAGTCAAGGCAGAAAAACTGCACTCCTGTGACCTACAGAAAAAGTATAGCCAAAATAGCTTGGGCTATACTTCTCCTTTAATGCTTTTATAGGGAGCCAATGCTAGGGTTGCCATCTCATCCCTTTAAAACTGAACACATTAATTACACAGGTTCTGAGGCTAATTCAATGCAGATAAGGCAAGAAGTGAGATTACCACCTTAAACAGTCACAGAACCTGTGGAATTAACCACTTTCCCACTGCACTATAGCAGAAATACTGCTACAGGGCGGCAGGGGGCTATTCGCGGCCTTGGCTGTCAATCACCGGGTCCTGCCCAGTGATTACTCGGTGAGTATTACCGATGGAGGGAGAGAACTATATGTAAACAATACAGTTCTCTCCCATCAGCTCCAACACACTGCTTTGTGTATGGCTCTGCATAGCAGAGCCATACACAAAGCAGTGTTCTTACAGTTGAAACACACATACTGTGAAACAACACACAGTTAACCCTCTCATTGCCCCACATGTTACCCCCTTCCTGCCCAGTGCCATTAGTACAGTGTCAGTGCTTTTTATTAGCACTGAACACTGTATTGGTGTCACTGGGGATGTCAGTGACACCAAGTCAGTTCCCCTCAGTGTCAGAATGCCTGCCGCAGTCCTGCTATAAGTTGCTGATCGCCCCCATTACTAGTAAGAAAAAAAAAACGAAATTTACAGTATTTACAGGTGAAACCCGAAAAATTAGAATATCGTGCAAAAGTTCATTTATTTCAGTAATGTAACTTAAAAGGTGAAACTAATATATGAGATAGACTCATTACATGCAAAGCAAGATAGTTCAAGACGTGATTTGTCATAATTGTGATGATTATGGCTTACAGCTCAAGAAAACCCCAAATCCACAGTCTCAGAAAATTAGAATATTACATGCAATCAATAAAACAAGGATTGTACATAGAACAATATCAGACCTCTGAAAAGTATAAGCATGCACATGTACTCAGTACTTGGTTTGGGCCCCTTTTGCAGCAATTACTGCCTCAATGCGGCGTGGCATGGAAGCTATCAGCCTGTGGCGCTGCTGAGGTGTTATGGAAGACCAGGATGCTTCAATAGTGGCCTTCAGCTCTTCTGCATTGTTCGGTCTCATGTCTCTCATCTTTCTCTTGGAAATGCCCCATAGATTCTCTATGGGGTTCAGGTCAGGCGAGTTTGCTGGCCAATCAAGCACAGTAATCCCACGGTCATTGAACCAGCTTTTGGTGCTGTCGGCAGTGTGGGCAGGTGCCAAGTCCTGCTGGAAAATGAAGTCAGCATCCCCATAAAGCTCGTCTGCGGAAGGAAGCATGAAGTGCTCCAAAATCTCCTGGTAGACAGCTGCGTTGACCCTGGACTTAATGAAGCACAGTGGACCAACACCAGCAGATGACATGGCTTCCCAAATCAACACAGACTGTGGAAACTTCACACTGGACTTTAAGCATCTTGCAGTGTGTGCCTCTCCATTCTTCCTCCATACTCTGGGTCCTTGGTTTCCAAATGAGATGCAAAAGTTGCTCTTATCAGAAAAGAGGACTTTGGACCACTGAGCAACAGACCAGGTCTGTTTTTCTTTAGCCCAGGTAAGACGCTTCTGACGTTGTTTGTTGTTCAGGAGCGGCTTGACAAGAGGAATACGACATTTGAAGCCCATGTCCAGGATCTGTCTGTGTGTGGTGGCTCTTGATGCACTGACTCCAGCCTCAGTCCACTCCTTGTGAAAGTCCCCAACACTTTTGAATGGCCTTTTCCTGACAATCCTCTCCAGGCTACGGTCATCCCTGCTGCTTGTGCACCTTTTTCTTCCACACTTTTCCCTTCCACATAACTTTCTATTAATGTGCATTGATACAGCACTTTGGGAACATCCAACTTCTTTTGCAATTACCTTTTGAGACTTTCCCTCCTTATGGTGGGTGTCAATGATGGTTTTCTGCACAACTGTCAAGTCAGCAGTCTTTCCCATGATTGTGATTCCTACTGAACCAGACTAAGAGACCATTTAAAGGCTCAGGAACCCTTTGCAGGTGTTATGGCTTAATTAGCGGATTAGAGTGGGACACTTTGAGCCGAGAATATTGCACCTTTTCACAATATTCTAATTTTCTAAAATTGTGGATTTGGGGTTTTCATGAGCTGTAAGCCATAATCATCACAATTATGACAAATCACGGCTTGAACTATCTTGCTTTGCATGTAATGAGTCTATCTCATATATTAGTTTCACCTTTTAAGTTGCATTACTGAAATAAATGAACTTTTGCACAATATTCTAATTTTTTGAGTTTCACCTGTATACCGACATTTGTAAATGCTATAACTTTCATGTAAACCAATTCATTTACACGTATTGGGATTTTTTTTTTAGCAAAGACATGTAGCAGAATACATTTTGGCCCAAATGTATAACGAAATTTGGTTTTATAAATTTTTTTACTGGACATGTTTAAAATCAAAAAGTCACAAATATTGTTTTTTCCTTAAAATTGTGGCTTTGTAAAAAAAATGTGCAAAAAATGCAAAAAATGAAAAACACACAGGCGATCAAATACCACCGAAAGAAAGCTCTATTCAAGGGAAAAAAAGGATGTAAATTTCATTTGGGTGCAGCGTTACATGACCGCGCAATTGTCAAAGCAACGAAGCGCCGTAACGCAAAAAATGGCCTGGTCTGGAAGGGGGGTAAATCCTTTGGAGGACAAGTGGATAATGTGTGTTTGGGTTTAAAGGAATGTGGTAGCAACCCTACGGCTTGGTTCACATCTGTGCGGGTGGTGCGGCTGCGGATTCAAACAAAAATACGTGCAACCGCACCACCTGCACAGAGGAATGTGAGACCCACGAGCGGGTGCCATTAATTCTAATGGCACGCCACCCACACTGGACAGCGCAAGCATACTGGAAACCGAGGTTCCCGTGTGGGCTGCGTTTTCCAAAAAAGTGCAGGGACTTCTTCCCTGTGTGTCCTGGGAGTCCATTCAGATGAATGGCTGCAGATATGCGAACCAGGGCTAATTTCACATGCATGGTCCGCTGTTGTCACTATCAGCAAGTCCACGTAAATATTGGCTGCATGTAAACAGGAAGTGACTGCAAAAAGCAGGACTGAAAAGCAACAGGAAATGAAAATGATTTTCAGGAAAAGAAAAGTCAATTGTTGATGATACACAGTACTCAAACAATGTTAGTGAGACAAAGTTTCAGCCATTTACAGATGGGACAAGTCAATACAAGCTGACATGCGTGGAGCTGAGCAGCGTGGGACAACGCTTCTACCAACACCCTCCTCTTTCCTGTATCTCGCGCGCTGATTGGCTGGGAGATCAAGCTTCTTCATCGGCTCGTGTGCGCGCTCATCTGACCGGAAGTGGCGGGAGTGCGCCGGTTCGGTAGGAGTGAATAGCACATGCGCGTTCTGGTGAGGTCCGGGCAATCCCGGGGAGTTGAGTAGTAGTGAACAGCCGGGGAGAGGAGGGATTCGGCCGATAGCATGGACTGAAATGTGCCACTGTGAAGAGCGGCTTGGAGCGGTCTCTATAGTGAGCTGAGCCCCGCAGGTGTGTCAGTGGTGTGGGTTGGGAGAAAAGGCAGAGTTTTATTTTCCTTGTGATTCATGTTCCTGCAGTTGGTGTTGTGTGAGTGGAATGAGGGGGTGGGGGAGTTGTGCAATGTTTGTAGTCATGGGGTGTGTATGCAGCTTTGTGCCATGTCTTCTGATCATACAGAGTTCACAAACTTTCTATTTAACAGATTACTGAATGCGGCAAAGCCACCCATGTGACAGATGGCCAATGCGGAGGTGACTGTCCCCATGGGGGACGTTGTGGTGATTCCTAGCGATTGTACGGAAGGGGAGGACCCCGAGGACACCAAGACGCAGGTTATTCTGCAGCTGCAACCTATTCCCCATGGGTAAGTGCGTGCAATGGAAAAATTTCATTGTCCAATGCATTAGGCCTTTTGCACATAGACGTAATCATTTACTTATGTCTAAAAACCAGTGTCAGACCATGCAATGTATATATACGCGATTCTGTGGTTGCACAGAATCGCGTATATATACATAATTTGCTAGGGGTGCGTGCCTGCCCACTGACCCAGCTGTGTTGTCACTTGCTCCAGCATACGCTGATCGCTGGGTCCCAGCCATTGATTTATGGCTGGGATCAGCGGAGTGAGTGACTGGAGAGAGCTCTGTGTTAGTAAACAACACAAAGCTCTCTACTTACAGTGGCGATGTACCATATTATTATTATTATACAGTATTTATATAGCGCCAAAGGGTATGCTCAGCACTGTACAGTAGCAAGGGGGACAGAACATGAGACAAGACAGTAAGAATACAATACACGAGGGGATCGAGGGCCCTGCTCTTTTGAGCTTACAATCTAGGAGATTTTTTTTTTTTTGTCTCCCAGCAAAGGAGGGAGTAAAAACCAGCATATCCCTTAGTAACACCCTGGTCACACCGATCTGAAATTAAAAAAATTGTGTGACTTACAGTGAAGTTGCACAATTTCTAAGTCGGATGACATACCAATTTGAGGTGCAATTTGCAAGACATCTGACACAGATGTCTATGCAAATGGCACCAAACGTGCATACACTACTTTAGAAACCGGTGCAGCTCTGAGCAAGTCGTAACCGCACCGTTATGACCGCTGTAATCGCGGACAATAGGGTGTGAATTGCAAGTCATATGGCATGCAAATCGCATGCTAAGTCGCACCCAGTGTGACCAGGGACTTGAAGCACCATACAGTCAACACATGAACACTTGCTAGGCACAGTTAACCCCTTCATAGCGCTGAATAAATGGTCTCCAAACTGTGGCCCTTTGCTTGCTTTTATCTGATCCTGGAGGCACCATTTCATTCACCAACACCAATGATGGACCATAGTTCCTCTCAATGACACCAACTATGGGGCACAGTTTCTGCCAATGCCACAAACTATGGGGCACAGTTCCTCCCAATGACACCAACAATGGGGCACAATGGCACCAACGGTGGGGCACCGTTCCTCCCAGTGACACCAACGGTGGGGCACCGTTCCTCCCAGTGACACCAACGGTGGGGCACCGTTCCTCCACAGTTTCTGCCAATCTCGTGCCCGCGCCGCACTTGCCGGGGGGGGTGGGGGGCTCGCGGCATCAAGCCGGCAGCCCTGTCCCAGAACCTCCCTGCCGTATGTCCAGGCGAGGCGTGAATCTCGCCGCAGGGGGTCATCTTCCTCCCGCCGGGTGGGAGGAAGATGACTGTGGCATGGTGAGGAAAGTAACACTTCTCAACCTGTGCGGCCCGGCTTCAAAGGGCCGTGACGGGATGAGAAGGGGGGAAGGAAGGTGTCACACAGGCACTGGGGGGCTGGGGGCAGCTCTGCAGGCCCCCCTCCCCCCCTCCATTTCACAAGTGCCGGCAAGGGGGACCTGACCGGCTCTTCTTGAAGGCACTTGTGGTCCCTAACTTATCGTGGATCTTGCTAACAGGACAGCCCGTCCGCGTTTTGGTGTTGGCTTCCCCATCTATACTGAATGAAATATACAGGCACACTAGGGGGGGGGGGGGGGGGGGGGGGGGAGGGGGCAGCTCTGCAGGCACACCGTGACAGACACCAACTATGGGGCACAGTTCCTCCCAATGATACCAATGATGAGGCACAGTTCCTCCCAATGATACCAATGATGAGGCACAGTTCCTCCCAATGATACCAACAATGGGGCACTGTTCCTCCCAATGACGCCAACAATGGGGCCCATTGACACCAATGGTGGGGCACAGTTCCTCCCAATGACGCGAGTGATGGGGCACAGTTCCTCCCAATGACGCGAGTGATGGGGCACAGTTTCTGCCAATGACACCAACTATGGGGCACAATGGCGCTAATGATGGGGCACAGTTCCTCCCAATGATAGCAATGATGGGGCACAGTTCCTCCCAATGATAGCAATGATGGGGCACAGTTCCTCCCAATGATAGCAATGATGAGGCACAGTTCCTCCCAATGATAGCAATGATGAGGCACAGTTCCTCCCAATGATAGCAATGATGAGGCACAGTTCCTCCCAATGATAGCAATGATGAGGCACAGTTCCTCCCAATGATAGCAATGATGAGGCACAGTTCCTCCCAATGGTAGCAATGATGAGGCACAGTTCCTCCCAATGGTAGCAATGATGAGGCACAGTTCCTCCCAATGATAGCAATGATGAGGCACAGTTCCTCCCAATGATAGCAATGATGAGGCACAGTTCCTCCCAATGATAGCAATGATGAGGCACAGTTCCTCCCAATGATAGCAATGATGAGGCACAGTTCCTCCCAATGATAGCAATGATGAGGCACAGTTCCTCCCCCAATGATAGCAATGATGAGGCACAGTTCCTCCCAATGATAGCAATGATGAGGCACAGTTCCTCCCAATGATAGCAATGATGAGGCACAGTTCCTCCCAATGATAGCAATGATGAGGCACAGTTCCTCCCAATGATACCAATGATGAGGCACAGTTCCTCCCAATGACGCGAGTGATGGGGCACAGTTCCTCCCAATGACGCGAGTGATGGGGCACAGTTCCTCCCAATGACGCGAGTGATGGGGCACAGTTCCTCCCAATGACGCGAGTGATGGGGCACAGTTCCTCCCAATGACGCGAGTGATGGGGCACAGTTTCTGCCAATGACACCAACTATGGGGCACAATGGCGCTAATGATGGGGCACAGTTCCTCCCAATGATAGCAATGATGGGGCACAGTTCCTCCCAATGATAGCAATGATGGGGCACAGTTCCTCCCAATGATAGCAATGATGAGGCACAGTTCCTCCCAATGATAGCAATGATGAGGCACAGTTCCTCCCAATGATAGCAATGATGAGGCACAGTTCCTCCCAATGATAGCAATGATGAGGCACAGTTCCTCCCAATGATAGCAATGATGAGGCACAGTTCCTCCCAATGGTAGCAATGATGAGGCACAGTTCCTCCCAATGGTAGCAATGATGAGGCACAGTTCCTCCCAATGATAGCAATGATGAGGCACAGTTCCTCCCAATGATAGCAATGATGAGGCACAGTTCCTCCCAATGATAGCAATGATGAGGCACAGTTCCTCCCAATGATAGCAATGATGAGGCACAGTTCCTCCCAATGATAGCAATGATGAGGCACAGTTCCTCCCAATGATAGCAATGATGAGGCACAGTTCCTCCCAATGATAGCAATGATGAGGCACAGTTCCTCCCAATGATAGCAATGATGAGGCACAGTTCCTCCCAATGATAGCAATGATGAGGCACAGTTCCTCCCAATGATACCAATGATGAGGCACAGTTCCTCCCAATGACGCGAGTGATGGGGCACAGTTCCTCCCAATGACGCGAGTGATGGGGCACAGTTCCTCCCAATGACGCGAGTGATGGGGCACAGTTCCTCCCAATGACGCGAGTGATGGGGCACAGTTCCTCCCAATGACGCGAGTGATGGGGCACAGTTTCTGCCAATGACACCAACTATGGGGCACAATGGCGCTAATGATGGGCACAGTTCCTCCCAATGATAGCAATGATGGGGCACAGTTCCTCCCAATGATAGCAATGATGGGGCACAGTTCCTCCCAATGATAGCAATGATGAGGCACAGTTCCTCCCAATGATAGCAATGATGAGGCACAGTTCCTCCCAATGATAGCAATGATGAGGCACAGTTCCTCCCAATGATAGCAATGATGAGGCACAGTTCCTCCCAATGATAGCAATGATGAGGCACAGTTCCTCCCAATGATAGCAATGATGAGGCACAGTTCCTCCCAATGATAGCAATGATGAGGCACAGTTCCTCCCAATGATAGCAATGATGAGGCACAGTTCCTCCCAATGATAGCAATGATGAGGCACAGTTCCTCCCAATGATAGCAATGATGAGGCACAGTTCCTCCCAATGATAGCAATGATGAGGCACAGTTCCTCCCAATGATAGCAATGATGAGGCACAGTTCCTCCCAATGATAGCAATGATGAGGCACAGTTCCTCCCAATGATAGCAATGATGAGGCACAGTTTCTCCCAATGATACCAATGATGAGGCACAGTTCCTCACAATGGGGCCCATTGACACCAATGATGGGGCACGGTTCCTCCCAATGACGCCAGTGATGGGGCACGGTTCCTCCCAATGACGCCAGTGATGGGGCACGGTTCCTCCCAATGACGCCAGTGATGGGGCACAGTGAAACTAATATATGAGATAGACTCATTACATGCAAAGCAAGATAGTTCAAGCCATGATTTGTCATAATTGTGATGATTATGGCTTACAGCTCATATCCCCCGTGATTTGTCATAATTGTGATGATTATGGCTTACAGCTCATATGAGCCCCAAATCCACAATCTCAGAAAATTAGAATATTAGAACAATATCGGACCTCTGAAAAGTATAAGCATGCATATGTACTCAGTACTTGGTTTGGGCCCCTTTTACAGCAATTACTGCCTCAATGCGGCATGGCATGGAAGCTATCAGCCTGTGGCACTGCTGGCTGCTAGAGGTGTTATGGAAGACCAGGATGCTTCAATAGCGGCCTTCAGCTTTTCTGCATTGTTCAGTCTCATGTCTCTCATCTTTCTCTTGGCAATGCCCCATAGATTCTCTATGGGGTTCAGGTCAGGGGAGTTTGCTGGCCAATCAATCACAGTAATTCCACGGTCATTGAACCAGCTTTTGGTGCTTTTGGCAGTGATGGGCAGGTGCCAAGTCCTGCTGGAAAATGAAGTCTGCATCCCCATAAAGCTCGTCTGCGGAAGGAAGCATGAAGTGCTCCAAAATCTCCTGGTACACGGCTGCGGTGACCCTGGACTTAATGAAGCACAGTGGACCAACACCACAGATGACATGGCTCCCCAAATCAACACAGACTGTGGAAACGTCACACTGGACTTCAAGCATCTTGCAGTGTGTGCCTCTCCATTCTTCCTCCATACTCTTGAGCCCTGGGTCCTTGGTTTCCATGATTCAAAAGTTGCTCTCATCAGAAAAGAGGACTTTGGACCACTGAGCAACAGACCAGGTCTGTTTTTCTTTAGCCCAGATAAGACGCTTCTGATGTTTGTTGTTCAGGAGCGGCTTGACAAGAGGAATACGACATTTGAAGCCCATGTCCAGGATCTGTCTGTGTGTGGTGGCTCTTGATGCACTGACTTCAGCCTCAGTCCACTCCTTGTGAAAGTCCCCAACACTTTTGAATGGCCTTTTCCTGACAATGACGCCAGGCTGCGGTCATCCCTGCTGCTTGTGCACCTTTTTCTTCCACATTTTCCCCCCCAGATAGACTTTCTATTAATGTGCTTTGATAGTTCAAGCACTTTGGGAACATCCAACTTTTTTGCAATTACCTTTTGAGGCTTTCCCTCATATGAGGGTGTCCCCGTGGATTTCTGCATAACTGTCAGGTCAGCAGTCTTTCCCATGATGTGATGGCTACTGAACAGCTATAGAGCCCCAAATCCAAATCTCAGAAAATTTGCAGGTGTTATGGCAATAATTAGCGGATTAGAGTGGGACACTTTGAGCCTAGAATATTGCACCTTTTCACAATATTCTAATTTTCTGAGATTGTGGATTTGGGGTTTTCATGAGCTGTAAGCCATAATCATCACAATTGTGACAAATTTCAGCTTGAACTATGTTGCTTTGCATGTAATGAGTCTATCTCATATATTAGTTTCACCTTTTAAGTTGCTGAAATAAATGAACTTTTGCACGATATTCTAATTTTTCGAGTTTCACCTGTAATTGCTGCTGTTGCAATATATGCCTGTATACATGTAAATCACTGTAAAATTTTCTATTTTTTTTTAAAAAAGCTCTGTACTCATCGCTGTATTATTGATCTTAACGCAGTTATGGACATTTTTCCATAGACGACAATGCACCTATGGTTCAGATCAGTAAAAAGAGGCAATTTTCACTCCCAGGTTCAAGGGGCCTTTTCTTGCCTTGTCCCAAAATATAAACACAAGACCATTCCTTGATGTGGTTCTGTGACAGGCTGTGTTTTCACTGTTCTGTATCCATACAAACATGACCATTCATGGATTAAAATTTGTCTGGTTTAGTAGGAAATGGCCAAATTTCGATCTATGTATGGGCAGGGAGGTAGTACAGAAGTCAATCTACAGATTGACTTATGTACAACTCCCCCTGTCAGATTTTTCCCTTTCTATGTTTTCTAGTGTCTCAAATTCCAGGGTATATTGTAGTGGTTTACATGCATATCAGTGTGAATGCACACATGTGGATAAATTCTTTCTAGTTTCTAGAATAAATGATTATTGTAGTCACTGGAATGAATTAATATGTGTAAGCTTCTAAGGTTAGGTTCACACCTACAAGTGTGATGTTGCAGTTTTCACATGTTCCTGCACATCGCTATTAGGGCAGCCCATTCATTTAAGTGGGCTGTTCTGTGCGCAGAAAAGTCCCCGACCCTTTACCAAAATTGTCACACCATACCACATTGTGCTACAACACCATGATGTTTGGTGCGTGTGTTAGCAGATGTGTCGAGGGCACTGTTGAGAATTGTGCGTGTTGGGAAAGCGCACAATTCTCAGCTCGTTCCAGACACGCATAGAAGTGAACCTAGCCAAAATCTTGCATGCACATTACACACCAGTACATTACACATCAGCTTCAGTGTTCTTCCTGCTGGGTGGGGGTGTTGCAGGGATCTGCTCTCTCATGTATTGAGTATTGGGCATTAATTACTTCATGCTTATTTATTTTTATTTATTGCAGGTGCTTGTATAGCGCCATCAATTTTTGCAGTGCTTTACATGTATATTGTACATTCACACCAGCCATTCCCTAACCCTCAAGGGGCGTACTTCAATAGTTCTTCATGTTTGAAAAGGAGCCTGTGTAGAATCTCAAAATGTATTTTATGGATTTTTTTATTATGTTGTACATATCCTCAGTGCAAGCAACTTTGATTATATGACTTGTTACTAGTATTTCCTGTGGCCTCCATGAAGCAAATTTTCTCCATTAGATTTTACTATGCCTTGTTTTGCTGTATAGAAGTGACCATCTTGGTAGAGGCAGGGCTTTGACTCCTCAGGTCAGAGCCTTTGGCAAGGAATACAGTGAGCAAAACATTAGTGACATCATCAAGTCTCCTGAGATTAGCAGTCAGAGGCAACAGTGCATTCAATATCCCACTGCCAGTATACAGTTATGAGAATGTAGGCACAAGGATTGCCTGGTTGCCTTCACATATGAGTGCTATGTTTTTTTTCCTTTGAAGGAATTTAAGGTTCACTGTCAGGGTACTGCTTAGGCACAACATTTCCAAATGTTCCCTATAGCATAGCAAATCTTCACTTTTTGGGATCAGGTTAATTTTAAAGGGGATATGGGGGATGACATCCTTATGAAAATGCTAGCTCCTTGCCTTCTGCGCCTTGTGAGCTACTGACATAAACTAAGTATTCAGATTAGTGTAGTCCTTGCCACTTTTCCATACTTGTTTGGGGTTGGTCACTCAAAAGTAATGAAGCTGTAGGGTCCACATGAAACAATCGGCATTAGAGGACAAACCAGCTCAGCTTGCTTGTTTTCCTATTAAAGTATTGTTATTGATTCTCACATTTTATCTGTTTTCATATTTTATATCTGTTGATCTAACAGTATGAAGTTCTGTCCATGCAGAATGTACGAGGAGATGTCTGATACCAATGCAGCGGTTGTGTCTCTTGAGACTCACACTCTAAAGATGGGGGATACCTTAGGTTAGTGAAATGTTTTGCTTTACTTTTCTTTCTCTTTAATGTCAATTATTGACATTAATAATTTAACTCTTTCCTTGTAGATGGTGGTACAGTGGAACTGGGTGAGGACATTGACATTGCATATCCCATCACCTGTGGAGACAGCAAGGCCGTTTTACTGTGGAAGAAATTTGTTTGTCCTGGGATCAATGTCAAATGTGTCAAGGTAATTGGATAAGGTTTTTCATTTATTTATTTTTTTTAATCTGTACTTTTGTGTATAAAAACACCTGCAGTACTAACAACATGTATTTTTATTCAAATAAATTAATCCAAAAAGAGAATATTCCCTCTTTTTTCAACTACCTATGTGTGCAACAACAAAAAAATCCCCATATATTTCTAAACGTGAACTACCAGAAAATCATAAAGTCCAAAGTCCCAATAATCAAAACAAAATCATAAAAGTCCAGTGTCTCAATAATCAAAATAATGAAACCAAAAAGTTATGAATCTTGCAACGTTGATTGTGTTCAGTGAATTATGTGAAAAACCTCAAAGAAAAAAGAAACTCACAATAGTGCATTACCGTAATAAAATCAGAAGAAAGGAAAAAAAAAAAAAAAATATCTTATATATATATACGCTTACATGCACACACAAATGTGTATCATAGAATTGTGCCACACTAAGTGATAGTGACACACTAGTGAAAACCTTCCAAACAATTAATAAAAATACTTGTGCTCAAAAAACTCTGAAATCCTGAAGTGAAACACTCAGTGAAATTGCTATCCACACGTGACACTTCTAGTGAGTAAGGCAAATATACCCTTACCAACCGTAGAGAAAAACCACGCCTTTATAATATATTTAGTAGAAATCCTCCAAAAGAACTTTCTCCTCCTCTCCTCCTTGCACTTATTGTCAGGGTGATGTTATAATGCCATCCACTTTCACAGGTCTGTAATCATGGTTTTACCAGGCTCCAGTATAATAAATATTTGCCATGATATACCTCCATGTATTTAAAGTAGCATTTTAATAAATCTTCTTACATAAAAATATGCGATTAGAGCAGAAAACCCCACTTAATGGGGATTACCAGGCAGTTCCCCCAGTTTTCCAGGCAGTTCATACACAGGTATCCAGCGATTCCCCAACAAAGATGGCCGCTGTAACACTTCCGGTTCCTGTTTCTTACGTATGACGTCACTTCCTCCTGACGCGTTTCGTCACTTCCAGGACTTAATCATAAGAGAGACTCTCTCTTATGATTAAGTCCCGGAAGTGACGAAACGCGTCAGGAGGAAGTGACGTCATACGTAAGAAACAGGAACCGGAAGTGTTACAGCGGCCATCTTTGTTGGGGAATCGCTGGATACCTGTGTATGAACTGCCTGGAAAACTGGGGGAACTGCCTGGTAATCCCCATTAAGTGGGGTTTTCTGCTCTAATCGCATATTTTTATGTAAGAAGATTTATTAAAATGCTACTTTAAATACATGGAGGTATATCATGGCAAATATTTATTATACTGGAGCCTGGTAAAACCATGATTATAATTGTTTGGAAGGTTTTCACTAGTGTGTGTCACTATCACTTAGTGTGGCACAATTCTATGATACACATTTGTGTGTGCATGTAAGCGTATATATATAAGATAATTTTTTTTTTTTTCCTTCTGATTTTATTACGGTAATGCACTATTGTGAGTTTCTTTTTCTTTGAGGTTTTTCACATAATTCACTAAACACAATCAACGTTGCAAGATTCATAACTTTTTGGTTTCATTATTTTGAATATTGAGACACTGGACTTTTATGATTTTGTTTTGATTATTGGGACTTTGGACTTTATGATTTTCTGGTAGTTCACGTTTAGAAATATATGGGGATTTTTTTTTTTGTTGTTGCACACATAGGTAGTTGAAAAAAGAGGGAATATTGTCTTTTTGGATTAATTTATTTGATTATTCACTTTCAAGGGTTGAAAGTTTTTTCCAATTTGGAATTAGTGTAGGTTTAAAGGGTATTTATCTGATATCACATTCACATTGTATTTATATGTATTTTTATTCACCTGTTACTATCTCACTGCAGTTTAATGACCAGATGATTAGTCCAAAACACTTTGTACATTTGGCTGGAAAATCAACTCTGAAAGATTGGAAGAGAGCCATCCGCCTGGAGGGAGTCATGCTAAGGTGGGCACCTCTGAACTTTTCCTTTTTAATGTGGTACACTGGGCTGGGTCGTTGACCTTTGTAACCATTAAATTCTAGAAAATGTGAGAACCTCTGATTTTATCATATGGCCAGCCTATATGTTTGTCTTGATTTTAAACATAAAGAGAAAAATTTTGGGGCTACCTTTGCTAACCCTAAGGTGTGTATGTGTGTTTGTTCCCATTGGAAACCTAATGTTTGCCATACAAACTATGTTTACCGGACTCTGATATATGCATTACCTGTTGCATACTGCCAGAGTCCATTATGTTTTTTGTAAGAAATATATGCAGAGCACAGGAAGTGCCAATGTACATTTAACACATAAAACTGACATTTAGCAAAATTTTCTCTTTTCTGCAGAAAAATGATGGATTCAGGGCAGATTGACTTTTATCAGCATGATAAACTTTGCACGAACACTTGCCGAAGTACAAAGTTTGACCTTCTGATCAGCAGTGCCCGTGCTCCTGTTCCAGGACAAACTAGTGTGGTACAGACCCAGACTACGGAAGGTATGGATTAAATTTTACACTTAAATACTTAAGTCCTGATGGCCTAAATTACGGTAAAGCAGGTCTGTGGAAACTCTTCCCAAAATCAAGGTGGGTCAGACAGTAAAACATGCACCCACCATATGTACCTATGTACCGTTCCCTTGACACTCTCTCAGTAATCATGTAAAGTGATCTCTTCCATCCTCACAAATATATATATATATATATATAGCAGCACAGTGGGTAAATGGTTAGCACTTCTGCCTGGCAGTACTAGGGTCGTTGGTTCGAATCCCAGCCACGGCACCACTTGCCTGGAGTTTGCATGTTCTCCCTGTGCCTGCATGGGTTTCCTCTGGGTACTCCGGTTTTCTCCCACACTCCAAAGATATGCTGGTAGGTTAATTGGATCCTGTCTAAATTGTCTCTAGTATGTGTGAATGTAAGTTAGGGACTTTAGATTGTACACCCCTTGAGGGTTAGGGACTGATGTGAATGTACAATATATATGTAAAGCTCTGCGTAAATTGATGGTGCTATATAAGCACCTAAAATAAAATAAATAAAAAAAAAAATATATATATATACAGTCATGGCCGAAATTGTTGGCACCCTTGATATTTTTCCAGGAAATCATGTATTTCTCACAAAAACGTATTGCATTAACACATGTTTTGCTATACACATGTTTATTCCCTTTGTGTGTATTGGACAAAACAAAAAAAGGGAGGAAAGAAAGCAAATTCGACATAATGTCACACAAACCTCCAAAAATGGCTGGACAAAAGTATTGGCACCCTTTCACAACTGCGGATAAATAAAATGTTACAAGCATGTGATGCTCCTGTAAACTCACCTGGGGCAAGTAACAGGTGTGGGCAATATAGAAATCACACCCTGAAAGCAGATAAAAAGGAGAGACGTTCACTTAACCTTTGCATTGTGTGTCTGTCAGGTGCCACACTAAGCATGGACAACAGAAAGAGGAACGAGAACTGTCTGAGGATCCTCCAGAACCAAAATTGTGGCAAAATATCAACAATCTCAAGGTTACAAGTCCATCTCCAGAGAACGTAGATTGGGGTCTTTGTCCACAGTGCGCAACATTATCAAGAATTTGCGCAAACCCATGGCACTGTAGCTAATCTCCCTGCGTCGTGGACGGATGAGGAAAATTGATGAAAAGATTGCAACGCAGAATAGTCCGGATTGGTGGATAAGCAGCCCCAAACATGTTCCAAAAAAGACATTCAAGCTGTCCTGCAGGCTCAGGGAGCATCAGTGTCAGCGCGAACTATTCCGTTTTTAAATGAAATGAAACGCTATGGCAGGAGACCCAGGAGGACCCCACTGCTGACACAGAGACATAAAAAAGCAAGACTACAGTTTGCCAAAATGTACTTGAGTAAGCCAAAAGCCTTCTGGGAAAACGTCTTGTGGACAGATGAGACCAAGATAGAGCTTTTCGGTAAAGCACATCATTCTAACTTTTTACCGAAAACGGAATGAGGCCTACAAAGAACAAAACACAGTACCTACGGTAAAATATGGGTGGAGGTTCAATGATGTTTTTTTGGGGTTGTTTTGCTGCCTCTGGCACTGATGGTGCCCTGACTGTGTGCAAGGCATCATGAAATCTGAGGATACCAAAGGATTTTGGGTCGCACTGTAGGGCCCAGTGTCAGAAAGCTGGGTTTGCGTCCAAGATCCTGGGTCTTCTCAGCAGGACAATGACCCCAAACATACGTCAAAAAGCACTCAGGGATGGCAAAGAAGCGCTGAGAGTTCTGAAGTGGCCACAATGAGCCAAAGATCTAAATCCCATTGAACAACCTTGGTTGAGATCTTAAAATTGCTGTTGGGAAAAGGTGTCCTTCCAATAAGAGAGACCTGGAGCTGTTTGCAAAGGAAGAGTGGCCAAAATTCCAGGGGTGAGAGGTGTCAGGTGAAGCTTATTGATGGTTATAGGAAGCGACTGATTTCAGTTATGTTTTCCAAAGGTTGTGCAACCAAATATTAAGTTAAGGGTGCCAATACTTTTGTCCAGCCCATTTTTGGGGTTTGTGTGACATTATGTCATATTTGCTTTTCTGCCTCTGTTTTTATTTGTTCCAATACATACAAAGGGAATAAACATGTGTATAGCAAAACATGTGTTAATGCAATACCTTTTTTGTGAGAAATACTTGATTTTTCAGGAAAAATATCAAGGGTGCCAACAATTTTCGCCATGACTGTATATATATATATAAATAAAATGATCGGTGACCCTATGCAGACTGTGTCGTACAGGTAAGAATCATGAAGAGCTAGCTGGGTTCATCTTCCCCAAAGTTTTTTTTCATTGTCTCAGATCACCTATCTGGTGAGTAGTTCTGAATGGAGAATCTTCAGGGGCACATTCCCTAGTCTCCATGGGACTTTATTCAAGGTTATTTGCTCACTGCGATTTTTTTTTTAAAAAATTTTTTTTTTTTTCCATCCCAGCCTAGAGGAGTACATTTTCCCATTTTTATATACAAGCTGTGCTGTTTGATATTTGATTGGGTTGTTTTCTGTTACAGTAAACATATGTAGGATTGATTTATTCCCTGCTGTTTGTGAAAGTTGCATTCAATGTGGCTGTTCCTGGATATAAAGTGAGCAGCCTATAAGAGACCTATAACAGTGTTTGTTCTCTAGTTCCATAAGACTCATTCCTGCACCCACTGGCATGTTTTATGCTTGTTCATCACAAGTTATCTTGCCTATGCTTTTGCCAGCATTAGTATTATTAAAATCAGTAGGGAGATAAAGTGCACGACTAACTATCCAGAGTCATATTGTTTATCCCTTGCTAGGCTGTCTTTCTTCTGTTACTTTGTCTGAGGAGACCATTGAGGATGGCAGTACAGAGTGGGGTTCTGGACTTACTGCCACACTGCAAATTAAACAGAGATGACCGAAGCAGGAAAGAGGGAGAAGAGATATCGGGTAAGTCAAGACAGAAGCCGTACAGCCATCCAGTACTTTAACGTTTGGCTCAAGAGCTCTACATGGTACAATAAAGTGCAGAGCTTTTGCCACCAAAAACAAATGGGGAATTTGTATGCGCACTGGTGCCCCTTACCTCTAACCTATCCTAAACAATTAGCTTCACACTGTCTATTATCTTTATCCCTCCCCTAAACTTGGCACTCTAAATGAAACATCATGACTTGGGCTAAAAAATAAGATGATAATGCAGATGTTCAGGATCCTTGCGGTGTCTGCCGTTACCTGGGTTAAGGCTTGTGTAGTGGGGGGGGGGGGGGGGGGGGGGGGAGTAAGTCCTGCTGTGTTATCTATGGAGCACGGCTCCATAGACATACAGCTTGGAAGTGAGCAGACACCATGTGCAAGTGGCTTGCTATGGGGACACACCAAGAAGAGGAGGAGCCAGGATCGCTGGCTGGGAACCTGAGAAGAGGAGGATTGGGCTGCTCTGTGCAATACCATTGCACAGGGCAGGTAAGTATAACATGTTTGTTATTTTTAATTTAAAAAAAAAAAAAAAAAAAAAATAGACTTTAATAACATTTTAAGTGCTTTCATTTGCATTGAAAGCAGAACGCCAGGAATTACAGATTTTAGTGTATCAACAGCTGTACTCCCAGCCGTCAGTAAAAATAAAATGAACCACTGGCCGTCCACCTTATAGCAGATTTTCTGCTACAGGGCGGACGTTTTGTGCAAAATCACATATATAAACATGATTTTGTACTTCCACCACTGGGGGGGTGTGTTCCTGATGCCAGAGTGCTGCATCTGCTGTGATTGGATACAGCAGAAGCCGATCATCAGGTACTGGCCAATGGATAAGCGCCTGCACCCGTTGATCACCGAGGAGACAGAACATAGCTCTACCTATGTAAGCAAGGCACAGCTGTGTTCTATCTGCAGCGATCTGCTAGATTTTCTTTCCCTGAAAAGCAGGGAATAAAATCTAGCAGATCCCCTAGTAAAAACGGTGCACACAGTACACAAAAACACCGGCCTAGCACACACTGAACCCTTTCATCGCCCTAGATTTTTAACCCCTTCTCAGCAAGTGTTATTAATACATTGACTGTGTATTTTTAGCACTGATCACTGTATTATTGTCACTGGTTCCCACAAAGTGTCAGTGTCAGACTATCCGCTGCAATATCACAGTCCTGCTATAAGTTGATCGCCGCACTTACTAGTTTTGAAACTTTTTTTTTTTTTTTTTTTAAACAATCTAGTGTATATATACCGCCATTTGTACAATCAATAACCAATCAATATACGTCTGTTGGGATTTTTTTTTTTACTAAACATATGTAGCAGAATACATTTTGGCCTAAATCTAAATTTATGAAGAAATTGTTTTTGATTATTTTTTTTTATTCAGGGTTTTTACATTTTATAGCACAAAAAATAAACGCAGAGCTGATCAAATACCACTAAATGAAAGCTCTATTTGTGGGAAGCAATTACATAAATATAATTTATGTACAGCATAACGCAGCACTGTATAGCAAAAAATGGCCAGGTCACGTCAAGTGGTTAGTAGAAGAGATGTCCACAAGGTGGCCTACACCTCCTTAGATTTAACAGTTTATAAGCTGGCATATTTTCAAATGTGCTGCAGTTCCTGTAGGTTTTTTTTTTTTTTTTTTTTTTTTTTTTTTTTAAGCTGCTTGAAGCTATTTTTATGCTCCTGTTTTCTTGTATAGGGAGCAGAAAAGCTTGGGTACAAGCTTGTGTATATGAGCATTTAACATTGCTCATTGTGGAACTCCTTAATTAGTAGGTTTTGCAGGGAAAGAAGGGAGGTATTTCAGCTCAGTAGGTAGCGGAAACCTCACTAATCTCTTTAGCTGAAGGCATTATGGAGCAATTTATCCTCCAAGCTCACAGTAGAAGCACTTTCTCTCAGTAGCTTAGTTCACCCTGTCATACTTCCCAGAAAACAAGCTCTGTGTTTAAATTACAAATTGGAGGGCTTTATAAGTCACTGGAAGAAAGAGGGAGTAGGATGGGATGCTCCTCCTGTCACCTGTTTTGCTTCTGCTGTAACTTTTGAGGATGAGCTGCTCAACAGTGCCTGTAGCTACAAAGGTCAACGACAGCTTGTTTTAAAGTCCATTAACAAATCAAGAGCATGTTAATACTAGAATGTCAATGCCTTGGCAACAGTTGTTCTTCCCATGTAAGAGCGGATAAAAGTTGCGGCTATACTTGGACACGAGCAATAAATCCTAAGGATGCACAGTGTTGCTGTAATGTATGTGTATGGATTTTTCTTTCAGAGGAGACTCTGCTTTTCTGGAAGGGAATCTCCGATGTTGGACTCATGGATGAAGTTATCAGCAAGGTCCAGAATGAGATTGAAGATCTCTTGAGTGGTGTTGAGCAACGAATGGACCAAACGCCTTTGCAGACCTCAGGTTATTTTTAGTTTTATTTTGGTTGAGTAAAGTGATAATAAACCCTCGGTTATTAAGCACGTTCAGCAGATGATTTAATCACTTCTTCTAAATTACAATTCTTGATAGAGATTGCAAATCATGATAGAATTCATTGATGGTGAGTGGGACAGTACAGAAATTATCCCAGGTTTAGCAATTGTCTTTTCGGTATTTTTCCTGTTCAAATTTTTTTTTTTTTTTTTTTTTTTTTTATTAAAATTTTAAGACATTGTATGCTGTTAACAAAGTCAAATCAAATTAATGGTAGCATATGCCTACATTATACAGTCTGCATACTATTCAGAGAGCAAGTAACAACACATAGGCCCGGTTCACACAAACTCAACAGGAATGTGTCTATTAGGGTCTGGTGGGGTACAATGTGTGTCACAAACATTGAAGCCTATACAAAGGGAAACTAACAAGAGCACAATGGGAGAAAATGGAGAGAAAGGTGGGGAAGGGTATAGGATCCCTGAGGTTCGTTTTTGTTTTTTTGCTGTTTGGGTTTGATTGGTTGCTGCACTTAAAGGGGTGATAAAACCCAAAAGCAAACTTTTGTTACATTGCAGCTTACCATTTCTTAGATGTGATGGCTACATTAGTTTTCTTTTTTAGGCTTTATTTCTTTTATTTTCACCTAGTGATCCAGCCTTTGTCTGTTTTTTTAAACAGAACAAGCTCTCCTGCAAATGTAGCAATTCGTGTTGGGACAAAGCATTTTCCATTGACGGGTGCCTACAATTATTGCCTTTTATTCATGTCAAGTCTTTATCCCAAAAGAAAAAAAAAACTGTTGCTCCAGTATGAACTGGCGTTTGACTTTGATTTGTTAGTGTCTAAATTTGCTAGTACATCTAACTCTCCCTCCCCTCAGACTAACAATTCTGCAGTCCATAGGTGCCCCTGTGCCCTTTTATCCAGAGGTGTTACTGTCTAGATCACAGGTGAAAGAAAAAAAAAAAAAAGCCTAATGCAAGAAAAAAAGACTAATGCAGCCACCACGTCTAAGGACTGGTAATCTTCAATATATTTCATTAATTATTTTAGGTTTAATACCGTTTTAAGGGAAGCTCTGGCAATACTTTTCTCATTGATTGAAGCACATAACGTTTAATATTTCTTCAGGTAGTATATCTCTCCCCACCAGCAATAAAGGAAGTAATTTTCTTAGTCCCAGCCCCCAGATTAGCTTGCCATTTTACTGTACAGTCCTCCTTTTGTGATGTGCTATATTTGACTGCTCTGTTTCCAGGTGAGCCCCAACAAAGAGTTTTGATGGGGTATAGAGTTGCAAATCCTGTCCTAGTTCCCTGTTGAAGGAAATAAAAACCTGTGATGTATTTTTTTTTTTTTTTTTTTTCACCTTTCCTCTGTTAGTAAATTATACAGTCCCACTTTTCATTAGGACTTCAGCTTTCCTCTCTCAACACCAAGACTACACTGCTGAGCAATCAAACGTTGAACAGCCCTTACAGTGTACATTTCAAAGCCACCCTGCTGCACTGTCAGTCTTCTAGCTGCTGGGATGGTGGTGCATGGCAGTGCTCTTCTCCCATGCAAATACAACCATATCAATAAAAATTAAGCTCTCATCTGGCATTCTTGGTGCATTGAACAGGTATGTCTGTCTTATCTTCCAAGTTGTACTGCCTAAAGAGGATTTGCTGAGCATGGCTGATGATAGCTGGACTTTTATTGATCTAGTATGCACAGTGGATCTAAAGTCTGCCATCCATTCTTTTTGGGTTCTCTAGCAGTAAACCTAATAGAAAAAAATGGGTCTTAAGTTCAGGACGTTTCAGGTTCATCCACACATCTCTTGCTGCAGCCGGCAAGTCACATGAACACTGTCGTCAATTATTTATTTTTTTTTTCTCCACAAGGAATTGAGAAGTAGAGCTTACCCCCCCCCCCCCCCCCCCCCCCCCCTATTTATACTTACCTAGGTGGATGCAGCATTGGTCCGATGCTGCATCTGTCCCCCTCTGGCTCTAAGGATGAGAAGTCAATGATCACCCGACCGCTGAGTTCTCCTCTCTGCTGTTAGCAGAGAGCAGGACTGTAAGTCAGTGCTGTCTGCTCATCCCAGTGCTGGGCTGTGGAGGTGGAGGGAGCAGCTGGCTCAGGTTCTCAGCGCTTCGCTAAGAGGCTGAGACAGGTTCTGCTCCAGACTCTGGGGTGGATCCTGACTTTGAGGCCGGGGATCTTTCCCTAGCCTGGACCGGCTGCGTGACTTCAGTCAGCTGAAATCAGGTCACAGTTTCCACAGAAGTACAGCCAAAGATGCTTTGGCTGTACTTTTCCTTTTAAATAGGAGCTTCAGACAGTGTGTGTTTTTTTTTTTTTTTTTTTTTTTTTTTTTTTTTTTTTCTCTCTTCCTACTTCGTTTTGGATAAAGTGGAGAAAGATTAGAGTCTTTTGTGTACCTGACGAGCATTTCTCAATGGGGAAACAGTACTAAAAACCTAACCTGACCCACCCACTAATAGAAAGTCTAATATATTTTGCTTTTTCATTTTGTAGATGTCACAGTACTCAATAACATTTCTCATACATTTGGTCTCCTGGACACAGTGAAAAAAGTTCTTGAACAAAAAAGGAGTCAAATGGACCAGAATGAACAGTATCAGTATACACTGGCAGGTGAGGTATACGTTCTGTTACCTGCATATCATTATTTTGAGTCTTCTAGTGTCTGTGTGTTCGACTTAGACACCGTGCTAAACCTTCTATATGCTACGCATAGAATGAGCTAAAGTGTACTCATAAAAATTAGACCTCATCAAGACTGAAAATGATAGCAGGCACAATAAACCTTGGCTGGAGGAACTGCTAATGATTTACCACTGCTGGCTGCTATTCTATTAATGTCTAAGCATTTAGTCATGTGATCACTCCTGAAGGTGAATCTGAAGAGTGGTGTTCTGTTTACAAGAATCGCATGACACTGGACCTCTGTTTTGGCCAGCGTCCAGGAAACGCTTCTATTGCCAATCCTAGCAAGCTTGCTTTTAATGTTTTCATTGCCAGGTCCGTACATCATATAGACCTGACAGCGGGGGATTTTACACACAATCCAGTGGCTGCAGCCACCGGGATTGTGTTTACAACTGACAGGCAGACTTCTGCCTTTGTGTCCTCTGTGATGGGGAAAAAAGTTAAGTAAAACATTTTTATTTTTCCCCAAAAAAAAATTCAGGCTCACCCCCACAATATATGCACGTGCGAACGTAAACCCGTTGTGTCGAGGGCACCTACACTTGAAAACGTTGATTGCGTCACGCGTTCTTTATTGCCATGCACGCTGGAGTAAGCGCAATAATACTAGCACAAGACCACCTCCGTAACACAATTTATCAAGACCTCCTCCATATCTGTTTACTTGGCGCAACCTTGTCTTTTATATTTTAGCATATTTTAGCAAAAGTTTGGGTCATTTATTGCGTTTCCCATAAAATTCACTTTAGTTTGCACGATCGCGGTGCATTTGTCACGCGAAAAAATGCGCTACGGTTTCAGGTGCCATTGAAATTAATGGCGCCTGAACTCGCAAATGATATATAGCGTTTTTTTTTGTTTTTTTTTTTCACAGCGCGTTTTCAGGTCGGGGGCAGAATCATGGCGATTCCACCTGCAATTTGAAACGCCCTAGTGTAAATAGAGCTTTAGTGAAATTTTGCGTTTCCTAGACCTTTGCGCTAATATCGTGTGACATAAAAAATTGGAACTACTACTATTTTATTTTCTAGCGTGTCTGCTTTCAGAAAATATATAATGTTTGGGGTTTTTTTTGTAATCTTCAGGCCTAAAATGATTTTTTAACTGTGCAAAAAATGCAAAAACAGCTCTGGCAGTGAAAGGGCTTAACTGAATGTCTAGTAGTCCCCAAACACTTTGTTTCAATCAGACCAATGTAATGCAAGCCCAACAAATAGCTGCAGTTTGTGTTCGGGTTAGCACACAGTTTCATACCTGGTGTTTCAGGAACTTGGCAGGTACTGAAGTTCCTTTTTTAGTCTGAAAATGTAGCCTTCATTCATCTTAAAGGATAATATTTTTAAGGACTACCTAATTTTACAGTCCACTGACACATCCATTCCATATCTCGCAAAAGTAGTTTGTCAAAGGGCATCATTTTGTCCAGGGTTGCTTTTTACAAGGTTGAATAGCTTGAACATTTACTGCCTTACACACAAAAGTCATCCATATTAAGAACAGGTCCAATTTGAAAGTGACATCCTACTACTAGCTATACCATGATCTGGATAAAGAAGAACCTTCATCGACACACAGCTATTCTATGCTTTGCTTGATCTGTAGTGTGTTACCCAGGTTTGCTCATATTATTTATTTATTTATTTTTGTACATCCATCTAACACAGTCAATAAAGTTCTGTTTATTTTACAACAGATCTTGAACGGCAGCTGGAAGAGCAGAAGAAGCAGGATGGAAACCACTCTCCTATTCTTCAGAATGTTGTGTTGATGCCAGTGAACACCCCAAAACCACCAAAGAGGCCACGACTTCAGCGTCCAGCTTCTGCTGGCACTTTAAACACTCCTCAACCTCAGTACACTGTACTGTCTCCCCTCACGTTGGCACCTGTTGGACAGCAGTTCTCTCTTGGTGGCTTGCGTTATGCTACAGTGTTGGGCAAGACTGGAGAAGGGGATGCCCTTACTGTATTAACAACAGAAATGCAGGATTCTGGAGCATTAAGTGGAGTCATGAGCCCTGTAGAGCTTGTTGCAATGGATTCAGGACTTGAGCAGGATGGAGTTGGTGAAGAAGGACAAACAATCATTCAGATAGATCCAGCACCAGACCCGGAGGGTGGATCCAAAGTGATGGAGCTTGGTGATGGAAAGCTGTTAGGAGTTGGCCACCATGATGGAATGCATAATGTGGAAATTGTAGTCCTGGAAGAAGACTAATTGCAAAAGCTGGAGTAGAGACCATAGTGTTAAAGTTATTAAAAAGAAACCTTAATTTATTACAGTTATTAGGCCATTTTATTTTTGGAGGTATGTAGATTTGGTGGTTTTAAAAAAAAAAGTTAGTTTTGAGGTAGAGCCTTCATCTGCTCCAAAATGGACCTTACCTGAGACATATATATATTCTTGCAGCCTTTGTGTTTGTGTTGTACATAGAGTGTAAAAGACTAAAACAAATGTTGAAAACTAATTTTTTATTAAAACAAATATATTACTATAACATGTTTGTAATTATAAACATTAATGTAAAACAGATGCTGAAGTGGTTTTAAAATGTATAGGCTTTTTTTATCTTAATTTTAGTTGGGCTATTTGACTTTTACTATTAAGAAAAATGTACAACTTTCAGGAGTAATTTACAAAGAATTTACAGCTGACATTATAACACTACTTTCCCAAGTAATCCTCCCGGATGGTCAGATGAGAGAGAGGCTCCACCTGCTACAGGAAACACAAGCACAGACAAGTTTAAAAGGATGCCCCCACAGTTCTTGTGCATCCTGAAAATATCAGCACAGCAGCTACAGTTTTTTTTTTTTTTTTTTCTTTTTCATTATTATAGGGCCTTATTTCAGGCAGGTATCCCTGATCCCTGAATATGTCCCATCCCTCTCTGGAGGGTGGATTTGGGGGTCCGTTGCAGGGGTATGGGATGGAGAGGACACAGAAGGTAGCTGTGGAGGGTTCTCCAAAGCTCCTTTTTGGTTTTTTTGTTTGTTTTCAAGCTGAATTCCCTAATGAGGGATTGGCTTCCTCCTGCACCCAAAGTGGGGATGGAGGGGACTAACCTGCATGCCAGCCAGGAGGTCCTGGGCTTTGCTGCGCTGTCCCCCTGCATCCCCTCCGCCTCCTTGCACATACAGACTGGGAGGTCCTGGAGTATGTCCCCCCGCAGTAAACCAGTGGTTTCCTCCTCCAGTGTTTGGCGTACCAAGATGGCCGATGAAGGCAGAAATTACATCATGCAAGATGGTGCCGGAACACTAAGAGGATGGCGTGGCAGTCATCTTGTGGTTGGCCAGGTAGGGGCTGCTTTAAATGACATGACAAAGATAGTGTCAAGGCCAGAACTGCTGCCTGTCACCATCTTTGTGAGAAATGTTTGGTGTCTGCTGGAAGGCATATATATATATATATATATATATATATATACATACATACATACATACATACATGCATGCATGCATGCTGGGGGCGTGCAGGGATGACACTACTACTATCTCCAGGATGGTTGAATGTTGGAGGACCAAACCTTGCTGGCCGTGGCTGTTGATCCTGGCCCCAGCCCTCTACAGGTAGGTCTGGATATTTGGGGATTTTTAAGGAAAAGGGAGTGCTAGGGGCACTATATGGTTTATCCTTATGATGCCAATTGTAATTGTGACATGCAGTATGGGTCACTGTTCTAGGTGATGGGTAGTCCTCTCTGGTGCAATTGGGGACTTTCAAGTGGGCAGTCTGCATCTTTCTGACCTTGGTTGGTTTCCTTATAATATTCTTTTTTTTTTTTTTTGACAGTCTAAGCCACAAGAGGTCTCTGACCCCTTGACCATACCAAAGAAAAATATTGCCACACCTGTGGGGTAAAAAAATTCCCTTGAATAGTGATAAGTTACAGATGCCTCAAAAGATTGTGAGTGTGAAAACCTGGCCAATTTTCAAGTTTTCAAAAAAACAAAATGATCTCTAATGTCCCTACAACCAGCCAACAATGACATGAAGCAGGGGGAACAGCCTTCTACTTCCCTGCAGAGAACAAAAAGACCATCATTGACTGGGGCATGTTAGGTCAATTTTGTCACAAGGGGGTGGGGTGACTGGGTGCCCTCGCCCCTTGGATATTTAAGAACTATCCGATGGTGGGAGCCACTGGCGAGACTGGAGCCTTTCTTTTTTTTTGAGTTGGTGATGGCTGCGGGCATCATAATTGATGTTGCATCTACTTTGGGGGGAAAATTTTTTTAATTTTTGTTGTTTTAATAAAGGACTTGTCAAAGACTGTCTGCTGTAATTTTTTTTTTTTTACAGTACACTTTTTTTTTATTAAATTAGTAGCTGTACCATGTACCTCATACTTATTCATATAGGGGAGGGAGCTATTGTTGTTGAAGGGGGATTCCAGATTCTGATAAACCCCCTGCATGCAAACCCCCACAACTGCAGGCCAGAGTTGTGAGGAAGAGGCCCTTTTCCCCATCAACATGGGGACAAGGTGCTTTGGGGGGAGGAAGCCCATGTTGAGGGCATGTGACCTGGTATGGTTCAAGAAGAAGAGGACACTCCCTCGTTACCCCCCTCCCCCCCTCCTGACCTGTCGGGCTGCATGCTCAGATAAGGGTCTGGCATGGATTTTAGGGGGACCCATGTCTTTTATTTTTAAAATTTTGGTGTGGGAGTTCCCCTCAAAATCCATACCAGACCCAAAGGACTTTGCAGTTGAACTTTCATTAGGTATTAATGTTCGACCACGAACTGAACATTGGGGTGCTCGGTCCATCACTAGTCCTGGACAATTTATGGATACCAAGACAGTTTCTGGAAACCTTGGGATGGCATTTGGAAAAATCAAATCTATGCCCTTCTCAGAGTGTGTGTTTTTTTTTTTTTGTGCTAGAGTCAACACAGCTCTTCAGATAATTTTTTTTACAAGCAGGGAAGGTCATTAAATTGCTAAAGACCGTAGGTCAGGTGGCAGAGGTTCTGCTAGTCGAAATGGATGGTAATGTCACACCTAAGTCTGTCAGCCTCTATTCCAGTAGTACAATGGGCACAGCTCCATCTGAGACCTCTCCAGGCCCATCTAGTTTGTCTTTGACATTCCAACGACTGTCAAGTACTCTACGATGATGGACACTGAAAGCCAAGGTGTTGGAAGGAAAGATTGGGATGAACCCCATCCAGATATGTATAACCACAGATGCAAGCGCATCAGGGTGGGGCGCTCAGCTAAACTATGGCAAGGAGTTTGGGCAGAAGAGAGGAGTACTGCATTATCCATCCTGAGGGAACTGACTTCAATTTCCACGATACTGCTAGGGTTCAAGGAAGAGATCAGGAACCATCATGTTCTCCTACTTTCTGACAATGCCACTACTGTGGCTTGCATCAATCACCAGGGAGGCACCAGTTCAAAAATCCTGATGCGCACTGCCTGTTATTGTGGGCAGAGGCAAACCTACCTAGCATCCATCTCTGCAGTACGTATCAAGGGTACGGAAGAAATATTGGTGGATTTTCTAAGCCGGAGGCTATTAGGACCAACAGAATGGGAGTTGAACCAGGAGGTCTTCCTACAAATACCAGCGAGATGGGGAACTCCGACGGTAGATTTACTTGCGTCAGCAAACAACAAAAAAGCGGAAAGGTTTTTTTCCCTGAAGAAAAACCCAGAGTATTTGAGTACAGACTTCATGGGGTTTCCATGGAAATTCAATCTGGGCTATGCCTTTCTACCCATCCCATGTGAAGGAAACGAGGGTGATACTAATAGCCTCCTTTTGGCCAAAAAGGGCCTGGTTTTCTGTACTGGAGAACATGGCAAAGAGCCTCCCTGGATTCTTGCAGCAACAGAGGGTTTATTGACACAGGCATTTTCCATCCACATCTGAACACTCTTAAATTGTCTGCCTGTTATGAACTGTAAATTTTACTGAACAAATGTTTCTCTACTTGGGTAGTTGATACACTGCTGAACTGTAGAAAACCGGTAACAAGGAAAATTTACACTAAAACTTGGAAGAAATATTTGGTGTGGATAACTCTGGATAACAAAAATCCCAGACAGCTGGTTACTGTTCTAGATTTTTTAAAGGCTAGAGTGGAGGCACCCTCAAAGTCCATTTAGTAAGCACCATCAAAGTCCATTTCACAGCACTGGCTGTTTTTCTTAACCCTAACTTTTTTGCTCAGTGGGAAATCAAGAGGTTCTTTAGGGCTATTTCAAGAAATCACCCCTGCAACTCAGTCAACGTGGATCATTGGGACCTCTCTGTAGTCTTGAGAGCCTTAACCAGAGATCCCTTTGAGCCTTTGCAAGAGCCATCTGTGAAATGTTTAACGATCAAAGTAGCATACTTAGTGGTCATCGCTTTGGCCAGGAGAGTTGTAGGCCTTATCCATTAAGGAACCTTTTCTAACAGTTTTTCCAGACAGGCTTATACTCACAACGGATCCTCTATTTTTACCTAAGGTGGCGTCAGCATTCCATAGAACTCAAAAAGTGGTGCTGCCATCCTTCTGTCAAAAATCTAGTAATCAAGGAGAGAAAGATTTTTCCTCACTAGACGTCAGAAGAAGCAACCAAATCTTTTAGAACGATCACACACTGTCTTATTTGGAGGGGTACACAAAGGGAAGCACAGTGGCTAAATGGTTAGCACTTCCGCCTGGCAGTACTAGGGTCATTGGTTTGAATCCCAACCACGGCACCACCTGCCTGGAGTTTGCATGTTCTCCCTGTGCCTGCGTGGGTTTCCTCCGGGTACTCCGGTTGCCTCCCACACCCCAAAGACATGCTGGTAGGTGAATTGGATCCTGTCTAAATTGTCCCTAGTATGTGTATGTATGAATGTGAGTTAGGAACCTTAGATTGTACACCCCTTGAGGGTTAGGAACTGATGTGAAAGTACAATATATATGTAAATGGACGGCACTATATAAGTACCTGAAATAAATAAGCCTGCCTCAAAGGATTCCATAGCTGGATGGATTATAAAATTAAAATGATTATTGCTATGGCCTACACCTCGCAAAATATTACTTGTCCTTCAGGCACTAGGCCTGCTTCACATTTTTGCGTGTTGAAATCTGTTGTGGAAATAGAAGTTCCTGACCTTTCCAAAAATGCAGAGGCTGAAAACACATAGATGTGAACATGAGACATAGGAAACCATGTTAAATGGACTATGGTGCGTGTCTGCAAAAGGTACTACTGAGAGGGC